TTATTTATTTATCGATTATTATTTTTAAAAAAAATTTCGGCAAATATTATTATTAATAATATCAATTTTGGAAAAAGGCCTATATATACAACAGGGGGGGCTCATCTGCAATTGTGTGTTTCAGTCCCCTTATGTGCATGGGTTCTCTCCACGTACTCAAGTTTTCTTCCAATACAAATTATTCGTTTAACGGACCAAGAAAGACCCGCCTATAAATGAGTCCTGACAAACATTTCACTCACACAATTTTATTTTAATCAGTGTGTTTTTTTTTTCAATGGAAATGTTTTGGTGAATAGGCAGGACACATGGGAATGTTTTTTTGTCCTCCCAAATACTTATCCTGCTCGTGAATGGGATAAAACAAATATGTGTCCGATATATTTCGGCTAATGCTAGCATTTATAACGGTGGCAATAAGCGGAAGGTCAAAATAAGCTACACGTGATCAATTCATCGCGGGAGAGGTGGATTGAGAAACTTTCCAAGTTTTGGGGTGAGAGGGCTCGAGGCTTGAACTTAAACTCTTTTTTTATTGGGCTCTAAATTAATCATAAAAGATACAGCGTCGATACTCTCTTGTAAATGTCAATGAAACGCACATTTTTGGGGAATCAGCGACGACCAGCGCTGGAATCAGGTAACTTTCATGGGGAAACCAGAACAGGAAATACCTTCCCTTCCCCTTACAGCAATTAATGAAGGTAGCGAAGGTTGTATGGTTTATATTGTTCATTTTAACACGATATGAATACAGAGTCCTACTCTCTCTGAAATAATATCGTCTTGTCTTTTTTTGTGGGCTCCTATTGAGTCTTGGACCTTGGGAAATTAGTTATCAATGACAAACTCCGTGACTTTCGCTTTAATTGGTAACCATTCATTATTATCAGTGGTGATTATTATTCGATAAACATTAACCCACAGCAGGGCTACATTGCGGGCAGCACAGCAAAATACATTGTTAGGCTGTACCTCAATGACCCTGCGTATATACACTCCCCGCCTTCACCAACTCACACTTGACCAGAGTGGTGAAATATGCTCAAATAACACCCACGACCCACATGGGCAGGCTCTGATCCAGCAGTGAATTGAGTTAGAATGACTGTCCGTGGCTAACACCAGTAGCGATCATTTGAACCAGTCCAGAAAAACCTCTTCACCAACCCACAATGACCAGTTTAGCGAAATATGTTAAAACGACGGCGAAATTGACAAAAGACGTAATTATACTAACCACATGGTCCAGCATAAAAATATATATTTTAAAGAAAAGTATTTAATTACGGTATGAGTAATAAACGTTTGTCTCAGACGGAAAAGAAAAGCCACACACCCCAGCAAATTTACCGATACAAAAGCCAATATGTGTCGCGGTCACCCTGCTCAATATAAGCAATGAGCAGTACTCGTGTCCCACTGGCAGACCAGAACTGGGATTGGAAATTTCACTTTTCCTCATGGCAGTGGTCGGTCTCTTACCAGTGCATGAAAAATAAAAAAATATACGGACCACTAAGCGTGGAGTGATTAACTACACCCAGCAACCCAGATATTACATTGTCACCATATGAGGTTGCAATTTAATAACCTCAATATTTTCGTCTTATTTTTAGCACCTAGTTTGTATTGTTTGTTCTTATTTAGTTTTGCTCAAAACTTGTTCAAAACTAAATAATGACAAACCTCACTGACTTTCAAGGCTCTATAACGAGGAGGGTGCCACTACGTTATCGCAGTAGGGGGCGACAATTGCCATGCGTTTCTCAATTGAGGAATAAGCAGCTAATTTAAAAAAAAAATTGGGGAATTTGGACCATGACGCTGGCACGTGACAGCATCTTTAACATCCACTGTAATTATATATGGTTAATACAGCCACTGTATTAATCTGGGTGGCCTGCTGGAGTAGAAGCACATACCTTTTGAACAGGTGACGAGCGCAAGGTCTGCAGGTCACCTCCCTCACTTTGGAATACCCTCCCGGCATCTTCTCTACGGCAGAACCAATACCTCTGCCGTAGCTGGCCATTGCTATAACGCTGTGGGCTCGCTTGATAATGTTTTTTTCCGAGACCAAGGTACTCTGCAAACCTTCGGGCAACTATCAAAGGTTTGTTCATGAAGCCATCCAGATATATAAACATAGACATAACTTCAACCGAGAAGATGGATACAAATTGAGCAATCATTGGAAGGATGTTATCAACCAGGTAAAGCCTTAACTGCTTGTGGTTGTTTCCATCTGACCTGCCGCTTACGAGTACATTTTTCCGAGTTATTCCCCCCCCCCCCCCCGTGTCCCACACTCAGCTTCCCACTTCTAGCCCCGCCCACTTCCCCCCCCCCCAGCCTCACTTCTCCCCCTAGCGCTCACGCACCCCCCCCCCTCTCTCTCCCCCCTTACCTCCCCCTTTCTTACCTATATAACCTCTTGCCACGGCAGCTCTCTTGCCTACTTCAGCAGTTTTCTTCCTGTGGTTGTTCCACCTGATGAGGATCGCTTGTGTTGTGATCGGAACGTCGTGATTTGTTTTATTTTATTTAATTTCTACCTACGTGACTTTACCGAAAGAACCAAAGAGTATGTATCTAGGTATGTTGAACTTCTTTCGCACCGTACGTAGTCAACTGTGCTAATCGGAGGTGCGGGGTGGAATGGCAACAAACTAAACGCAAAAAGCAGTCCTAGAGAAATGAGTTTGTAATCTAGGTTTAATCTTGACTTTCAATCTAGATTTTCTCCAACCTCTTAAAATAACCTTGGCTAAATGCAAGAAGGACGGTCCCTCTCATCTATTACAACCTTGAAGGTGCTGTTTGTTGATGGCCGCTTGATGTTTTGGCCTTCAGGCCCTATTTTTTTTAAATGCCCTCTTTCGGAATGGATTCTTCATCCATACAACGATTGCCATGACGCAACCTATAAACCGAGAAGTGGTGTGAAAAGGGATCTAAAAAATACATAACATCCACGTTTTAAAAAAGTGGAAAACGGAGTTACATTATTTCCTCCCAACTTCTTTCATCTTCACCGCTACGGATGTATGTATGTTTAACACGTAGGCTTTCGCGACCAATATTATTCATAATAAAGGTTTTTGGGTTAGATCGGGTTATTTATAAATGTGTCGTAACCCTCCACCACCCGACACGGTCAATCAGCAAAAAAGTGTCACGTTGACAAGAGACAATTAGTTCACTACTTTAGCCTACCGGTGTGTTGAAGAGTGAATACACAACATTTACAGTTTGAATACGACGTTTCGCTGGTAATTACATCCAGCATCATCGGGCAATTCGCCAGAATGGTAAAGCCCTCACTTGCTCCCGGTCTTAAATAGAGCAGCAGGGTGACGTCATCATTTAACTCATTCAGGTGGAGTAATTATATAATCGATTGGTAATCAGTCAATGATTATGATTAGTAATGAGTTGTAGATTAGAAATTAGTTGTAATGTGTGTTATTGTGATTATATACTACGTTAGTAATCTGTTAATTAGTTTGTGTTCCCCCTATAAGGAATTGTAAAATGTATTATTTAATAATACGCTTCCAAGCCGCACTAAGCCTTTAGCTATCCGAGCGATTAAAGTTATTACTATTTCTCTCAAGTTCAATGGATTCTCTAATTAGTCTTTGCCAGTAATAACACACTCCCGTTCCTAGATATTTTGCTTGAACATGGCCTAAACGGTAAAATAACACACAGCGTTTACAGAAAGCAAATGCACACTGATGCCTATCTGAATGCAGATTCGCATCATCATCCAGCTTAGAAATCCTCTCTTATCAAGACGCTCATACATCGGGCTAAAACAGTGTCAGATGGTGAAAGTCTAGTGAGAAAGATCAAACATGTTAAAGAAGCATTACGACAGAATGGCTACAATAATACTCAAATTAACAGAGCACTGAATGCCAAATCACGATCGCAAAGCAACACTGCTGAAAGCGATCAGATTGTTAAAACGATTAAAATTCCATATATCTCAGGAGTAACTGACAAATTAGCCCGTGTTTTGCAAAAGCAAAACATTACAGTAAGATTTGGTACAGTACACAACATTCAAAAACTAGTATCTTGCACTAAAGACGAATTACCTAAATTATCAACAGAAGGTGTATATCGGATTAATTGTTTATGTGGCAGATGCTATATTGGACAGACGGAACGTAACATCAGCATAAGACTAAAAGAACACCAAATAAATATTAAATTATCTCAAACACAACTGTTGGCAGTGGAAGAACATGCTTGTCAACAAGGACACTCAATTGATATTGATAACGTTGAAGTGTTGTGTAAAACTAATTATTACTGGCAAAGACTAATTAGAGAATCATTTGAAATTGAGAGAAATAGAAATAACTTTAATCACTCTGATGGCTATAGGCTTAGTGCGGCTTGGAAGCGTATTATTAAATAATACATATTGCAATTCCTTATAGGGGAAACACATACTAATTAACGGATTACTAACGTAGCATATAATCACAATAACACACTTTACAACTAATGACTAATCTACAACTTATTACTAATCATAACCATTGACTGATTACCAATCGATTATATAATTACTGCACCTGAATGAGTTAAATTATGACGTCACCCTGCTGCTCTATTTAAGACCGGGAGCAAGCGAGGGCTTTACCATTCTGGCGAATTGCCCGATGATGCTGGATGTAATTACCAGCGAAACGTCGTATTCAAACTATAAATGTTGTGGATTCACCCCTCAACACACCGGTGGGCTAAAGTAGTGAACTATTTTGTCTTTTGTCAACGTGACACTTTTTTTGCTGATTGGCCATGTCGGGTGGTGGAGGGTTACGACACATTGATAAATAACGCGATCTAACCCAAAAACCTTTGTTATGGATGTATGTATGTTGAACTTCTTGAACGGTATGCAGCCAACCGTGCTAATCGCGGTGGGGCGGCGAGCCCGGACGAATCCCGATCGATCCCGAATTTTGAGCGGGCATGTATTGCGCAGAGTTTATTTCGCGTTGCCTGCTGGCGTTTTTTTCCCCTTCCCCCTTTTATTAAAATCTACTTTGTATTCTGGCTTTCTTGAATGATAATAAAAGCTTTTTTTTAATATATATAAAAAAAAAGTTGCGGACGGCGAACCCGAACAAGAGCCAGACGTGACTTTCAACTGCGACCATCTTGAAGCCCTCGTGGCTCGGGTCACAGGGGCTCTTGTCGGGGCAGAATGTCGCTGCAGGAGAGGGACAGCAGGGACCCTCCCTGGCCCTCCCTGCTGTAGATGAGCAGCGAGTCCGCGGCGGCGTTACTGGAGTCCGAGTCCATAATCCGCAGGCTCTGTGTGTGTGTGTGCGGGCGTGCGCGTGTGTGTGTGTGTCGTTGGTTGTGGTGGATGCCGGAAAGCATGGGGTGGGGTTTCGGGTGTTCAGTTGGGAGGGGGGGGGGGTGGCATAGAAAGAAGAGGGAGAAGAACAGAAGGAGGGGAGGGAGGAAGAAGGGTTGTTGTTTTTTTTTTACTTAATTTCGTTAAATTCCAGGTTCTTAAAATCAAACCTTCCATGCAATTAACATTTCTCAATAGCAGGCTGTGTGGAAAAGTCCAGCAACCGCTAGTGGTGATAAGGATTCACTTGAAAGGACCTCAAAGGCGGCTCTGTGGTATCAACTTCTGCGGGCCATTTTCTCACCCGAAAAAGAAAACAAAAATCAGTTAAGAATGACATACGACGGACACCTCAATCGCAGGGTGCGTGCATTTTAGTTTGTTTTTGAGTTTAGCGCGGTTGGCTATGTACGGGTGCGAAACAAGTTCAACATCCACACATGATGACGACGTTGATGGAGATTATGATGAAGAAACACATGTTCATGGTTGGGGCGTTCACACCTCGGCCATGAAGCTGTAGATCTGGCTGTCCCTCGAGGCGCCAGCGAACGCGCCAACCTGACGATCCACAGCGGAGGCGAGGATCCCCTCCGAGGCGAGGCCCATAGACGCAAACTCGGAGTGCTGCTCGCGACGTACGCACGGTAGCAACAACGTCAATGGGCGGCAGCAGCAGCAGCAGCAGCAACGCATACAATAATACCAACCAACAACAACAAATACATCTCATTTGGTTCTTTCGGTAAAGTCACGTAGAATGAGAATACAAAAATAAAATAACACAATAAAATTCTCACGACGTTTCGGCCACAACGCAAGCGGCTGCTTATTATTTTATTCTCATTCCACGAAAGAACCAAATAAGATGAATCCGTGCAGTTACGAAAGCTTCAAATCGAAACAAATACATCGACAAACAACGACAAGAATCCGAATTAAAAATCAACAACCAACAATAACCGACTATAATAAACAACAAAAAACGACAGCAACAATAACAACAACAACAACAACGGTGAAAAAAATCATCATCACGGCCAGTGCTCTTTGTGTTGGCGGTGTTGATGATAATGATGATGACGGTAGCATTAGTGATGATGACAGCAGTATGAGTAGTTATGACGGTAAGTAGTGTTATTGATGACAGTGGTGTTAGTGATGATAACAGCAGTGTTGCTGTGGTCATTGATGACCGTGACGGGTATTGGTAAAGGTGGTTTGGATTATGACGATGATGATGATGATGGCAGTGATCATCACCACCTCCACCTCCTCCTCCACAATCTCTCACCTTGTTGTCCGCCCACCCTCTGCTCTCTTGGCTCAGAGTCGCCACTCCCGCGCGGAACCCTGAGGAGCCGAGTGTGGTTATCGGCCACGATTCCTGCACACGTAGAGCCATGCGGTGGAGGTCCTTTTTATCCGCAACTCATCTCAGCCCATCGTCCCCCTCCGGGTCGATAAAACGAGTACCACTTAGGGTGGTACTTTTCATTCATTTTTGTATTCACGACTTACATTTCTTGCGAGATTCGTTGTGCACGGTTGGACTTGATTTTGCGCGCGGACGCAATTTGACTGTTGCTCGGTCGGCGTTAAACCGCCCGAGGTCGTGTCCGGGATTCCTATCCTCACTCCCTGCTGCTCCTCTCTGCCCCCCCCCCCATCCCCCGCCCCCCCCCACACGCCCCCCCCCCCCCCCCCCCCCCCCCCCGCCGCACCATTTCCCATTCGGCTGTAATGATGCGCGCTGATGGCCACTTTTAGTAAAATAAAGATCTATCGATTGATTGAGGTGGGGGAGTCAACAGTGCTTCTCCAATGAATAGACTCGACCACCCCCCCCCCCCCCGCCATAGGAATGAGGAATGTCCACCGCTAGGGACAGAACTGCAAGTGGGCGATCAGCACCGCTCGCTCATTTGAGCAGGAAATCAGAGTATTTATACTGGAGGAATCCGATGAGCTATAAAGCTCTTTCTCACAGATGTCCAATGAGGACGGGTCAGAACGTTACAGCAACAAACGATACAAAAACATTATAGCAGTGCAAATTATAGGAAAGGTAAACAAATAATTTGAAATATATAATCATTTTGACCTGGTCTTACCATGAAATTTCTATTATCAACTTTTTTTATTAAATGCAGTCCAACCCAATCGTTATTTCACCAGGAGATGGAATCAGTTCGTAAAGATAAATGTGTAAATTGAGGCCAGTTATCGCCCTTCCCATTCGTCATGGGAACGTGGGAGTGCAGAGATATCCTTTTGAGCCATCAAACTCAAGACATGCGTTATCAGGACCCGTCGGGGTGGCCAAGTTTATTAACGATTTTCTTGAAGAATTTCACCTCTAAACTACACATGTGTAGAGGAGTAGTCATGTCACCCTGGGGTATATAATTGATGACGTCATGTCACCCTGGGATATATAAGCTGGGACCCGTGACGTGAACAGGGTCGTCGTCGTCGGGGCCAGCAACGAGAGAGGTTGTGAGTCGGGACCCAGGGTCGGGTGATCCCACACGAGGCTAGGGTGGCTACTTCCCCTGGCCGGCCGATGTTGGTTGAACCCTCGGTCGGTGCAGTGGGAAGAGCCCAGATAGCCGGGGGGTTGTTAGGATTCCCAGTACCCTTCCCCTGGGGAGAAATATACTAGCCGTCCACTGTTAGGCGTAAGCCCCTATTAAGTTCCTAGGCGTAAGTCCCTAATAAACTTTGGCATCAGCCCTTACGAAGATCTGCGTCAGCGTCGTCTCTTGCACCACAACACGTGTGACAGCAAGGTCAGCGTCATAGCCTTGTATGAGAGAAATGTCGTCACACAAGGGCACTGGAATTTCGATTTAAAGCTTTCGTGACGGCAAGGATTCATCTTCCTTGGTTCTTTCGGTAAAGTCACGTAGAATGAGAATAAAATAATAAATTAATAAAATAACACAATACAATTCTCACGACGTTTCGGCCACAACACAAGTGGCCTTCATCAGGTGAAGGGACGAGACTGTCTCGTCTCTCTCCAGCGCTGTCCTCGAGACAGTTTCGTCCCTTCACCTGATGAAGGCCACTTGTGTTGTGGCCGAAACGTCGTGAGAATTTTATTGTGTTATTTTATTTTCTTATTTTATTCTCATTCTACGTGACTTTACCAAAAGAACCAAGGAAGAAGGGCACTGGAGTACGTCCGATCGTGATTATTGGTCCAGAAATTGAATACGCAACTAAATGTCACGTGAAACAAGTGCGCAGTCGAGCGTGTCCATAAAACAGCTGGTACACATGGTGGACTTTGCCCAGGGTGCACACAGCCCAATTAGTCCATGATGGAGGACGGCGGTAGCATTTGCCGCCCTAGACGGTGCCGATTAACCCCCTTGGCTGACGGACTATTTGGGGGAAAGGGGGGTTTGAAGAGTGATGGGGAGGGGGGGGTAGGTGGGGCGTGTCCGTGAGTGTCACTCACCAGGGCCGCACCGTCGCCCCCCAGCAGGGCCGTCACGCCTCCCACAGCGGCCCCTGTGCCGCCGGACGCGCCGGCCCAGCCCCCCAATCTCTGAGCTCCATCGTCGGTCGTGGAGGCGGCGGCGGTGAGGTGAGCGGCGCTTCCCAGCCCAACCTTGGCCACGGTGCCCTGCTAAGGGAAGCCCAGGGGGTGTTTTGGTGCCATTAGAGGCGCCCACCCAACAATGGCCGGTTCACCTTGCAACCATTTTCGCAATCGGATACCGGTTCGAGAATCGGAATCAGAATATTTGTTTAGACCGCAGGCGTAAGCCTGATGAGCTGTAAAGCTCTTTTTTTCCACAGATGTCCAGTAGGGATCGGGTCAGTGCGTTACAACGACAAACGACACAAACACACAATAGGAGTGTAAAGTGTAGGAAAGGTAATCGAATCACAACAAAATATATATAAACAAATAAAACGAAATCTTTATTTTACCAGGTAATGCTCGCTGAGCGATATAGAGCAGCTCTTTTTCAGAAGCGCCCTTGGCCACAAATGATAGCTCATCGTGTGGAAATTTATAGCAGGCAAATAATCGAAATAATCTAAAGTATTATGATGGGATAACTGACTCGGCTGACGAGCAGATGCACCACCTGTGCTCCGCACTGTGCAAACTCGCTGCGTTCTATCCGCCCATCGCTCTGATCGTTGTTGTGAACATTGCTCCTCCGCTCACGCCCCCCCCCCCCCGCCCCCACTACCGGCCGCTATTGTTGGAGGTGGACGCCTCCGGCCGCCCAATAGTGTCCTTTATGAGACTCCCCCATGGAGGCCGGTCATCGGCAAAATCCGCTCGGCTCCTCATCACCCCCCCTGCGCCACATTTTTACCCACTAAACGTACCTCCGTTCTCACGGCTGTGCCTCCATTTGCCACAGCCGCCGCCGCTGCCGCAGATGATCCGTGTGCCGTGCGAGCTCCATTTGCCGCGGTTAACGTTTTGGTATCGGAAACAAAGCACGACTCCTGGACGATGGCTCTGGACCCTGCAGCCATTGCAACCTTGGTCCCGTTGGGCGCATTTAGCGACGTCGCCGCCACTGCCCCTGCGATCGGAACCTGTGGGAGGAGGAGGAGGAGGAGGACGAGGAACAGCAACAACGATAATGATCCGTAATTCATTTTGCTGGTGTAGCCGCGTTGTTGGCGGCAAGGTGTTAACTCGCCGCCTGGTATGCAGGAGGACGTGGGTTCGATCCCGACCCTGATGCATATTTGGAGTTTGCGTATCCCTCTCCTCGTGGTCACGTGGATTTTTCTCCGGGTCCTCAGGTTTTCCCCTCCACGTTTAGAATCGAAATGCATTTAGAGTGTTTGTGCTGCTATACATTTCCGCGTGATGATTAGACACTTCGTTGGGCTATCATTTGTGGCCAGGTCGCTTCTGAAACAAGAGCTTCATAGCTCAGTGGGCCTTACCTGGCTAAAATAAAAAAAAATAGTTTAGTTTAAAAAAACATTTTTACAACGTGCCTTATACTAACCCCGTGTTGACAAAACACGTGGACATACAGATCTCTCTCTCTCTCTGTATTGTGACCTCAGCAACCTGGGCGCTCGTTCATCGAGCGCTAAGAGGGCCCCACGTGCGAGTGGGGGGGGGGGTGGAGGAATTGAGCTGCGGCTATAGAGGTGGGCGGGTGCTCACCTTGTCCACCTCTTCGCCCTTGGTCCAGGTGGACAGCGAGCTGTGGGGGGCGTCCACCAGCGAGTAGAGAACCGACTTGGCGCTCTTCCCACGCTTACAGCAGCAGCAGAGCAACAGGATTGCTGTGGTGCACGAAACAGACAAAAAGGCCCCCCCCCCCTCGTCACCTCCCCCATATAAGCTCAAGAGATTCGTAGAAGCAAGTGCTGTTAGTGAGCAGCAGGACCTATTCAGGCCGGCACGACACACGAAGGGATGGGGGGGGTTGGTGGTTAGCGACACGTCTGCCCAACCTTTGCCTCTGCGGTGGTCTTATTCTTGTTGTCGTACGGCCGCTGATGAAGATGGAGAGACAACAACTACTACAATTTGACATTCAGGTGGTCAAGCCAGCAGACCACCGTTTCAGGAGCAGTAGCGGAGGGTTATCGCCGCGCTGCGTCCTTCATATTTGTAGATCGGGGGGGCATCGCGTCGATATACGTTGTACGTTCTGTTCTGGATGACCACAGTCGCACGCTGGAGAGTTTATCTTTTTTATTTTCCATTTGTGCATCAGGTATCCGCATCTGCTGCCATGGTTTGTGCAGTGGATGCGGTTTAGGGTGGTGGACCATGAGCAGCTTCGTGGAAGATCAAACCCAGGGATCTTCTGCGTTGGGTCTTTCACAACAAGGTGTTTGTTTGCGAGCTCCTTTCAAACTCTAAACAGCTCTCCAAGCTTCATCAGGGTGGTTGACCACGCATCGTTGTGGTGATGTTTACACACTGTACCAGGAGCTCATTCTAATGGCTGAGTTGACCTGTGGAAGGCCCAGGTCCGGCACGGATATTTGTCACCGACGTTGGTACATGAGCGCTAGCCACTACGCCAGTGGTTCTCAACCTTTGTTGGCTGCTGCTGTGACCTTCATGTTGAATTTTGTTTTAACCGGGTATACCCCACTTGCCTGTCCCAACATGGTTTTAAATAAATAAATGTAATGAATAGTGAACATCAACATTCTAGGCAATTGCCCATTTTGTGAGGTATCCGAACTGGCTGGTAACTACATGCGAATAAAACAACAATTAAACGGACGCTCTGCACGCGTGCCCTAATTTGTTCACGCTCGTTGGTTACTCTTACAATCAATGAGTTTAAAAAAAGGTCTCTCATTCTAGGTTTCCTTGTGGATTTAAATTTCATCGTAGTTATTTTTACATTGGCAGCTTCATGCACGATAATCCACCAATGACTCTCGTGTACGATACGTGTGTGAGTGAGTGTGTGTGTGTGTGATTGTGTGTGCCACCCAAACAGTCTGTTAAGGCTATACGGGGGGATCTTTTCCTTGGTGATTGCGTGTGAGTCTGTGTGAGTGTGTGTTAGCGCGCAATTGTGTGCGAGTGTGATTGCGTGTGATTGTGTGTTAGTGTGTGTGTGTGTGATTGTGTTCGAGTGTGCGATTGTCTTTGCGCGTGCAAAACCAGCACCGGCCAAGAGCAGCCCCAACAGCCCGGCCAGGATCCCAGCGATGGCTCCGTCCGAGAGGTGGCTGCCCAGGGCCTTCCCGGCCTCTCCGGCCGCAACGGCGCAGTCCGGTTCGGGATGACCGCTGGTGCCGCATTGGCACGCGGAGACATTGAGGGTCCGCGTGGCCCCGAGGCCGGCCCGGTCCGACACGTGCACGGGCACGGAGTGCAGGCCACGTGGAATTCGGGGACCTCCGCGGTACTTCACAATCGCCGACACGCCTGGACGCACGCACGCACGGGTACAACAGACAATGTGTGTGTGTGTGTGCGTGTGTGCGCATGCGTGCACGTACCAGTGAGGACATCTGTGCAAAAGAGCTTAATAGCTCATCGGATTCCTCCAGTATAAATATGCTGACTCTGGGTAAGTGCCCGCCCCGGTTTTACTTATCCCAGAGTCGCCCTCCATCCAAGGTACCCCGCACCGCCGATGGGCATGGCTGACTGCGTACGGTGCGAAAGAGATTCAACGTACATACACACATTTCATCACCATCATCAGCCGCAGCCATGATCATTCCGCACGAAGGCATAACCAAGTCACCACCACCTCTGAAGATCCCGCGATGCAACAATCCATTAAGCACCCGCACATGAACGGATTTTGTCACTCCATCTCCCTGGTGGACGCGTATTAAATGCCGATCTCATTCCTTGGCTGTCACTCTCTCATTATTCTTGACCACCGTCCATCATCCGTTTTAGCCATGACATGTCCTGCCCAAGCCCCCAATTAACCTTTTTTTTGGTTTAACACGTAGGCTTACGCGACCAATATCATCCATTAAGAGGTTTTTTTGCGTTAGATCGCGTAAATATATAAATGTGTCGTTAAACCCATCACCACCCGACATAACCAACTAGTAAGGGTTGTCCCGTAAACAGAACACGCCAATTCGTCACTAGTACAGCACGCCGGTGTGTTGGAGAGCCAGCGCACAACATTTATAATCTTTTGTGTTGGAAAGCCAAGCCACAACATTAAAAAAAGTTATATTTAATAGTTTGGATGATGTTAGTACGTAGCCTGTGCTATCTAATCTACGTGGTTCCTCTTCCAGTTTCTCAGTGTAATTCAAAGCATTCGTTTCTCCACGCTGCTTTATGTACTTTTCTGTTTTAATTCTACGCTCTTTGTTCGTGACCATATTTACAAACCATACATCATAGCAGGTAGTAAGTACCAAATCCTCGGTGCGAAAGAAGTTGCAACGTAAACGCATACACAAGATGCTTCGCAAAGCAAAATGGACCCCAAAGTTGTACCTGGTGCCAATAAAGTTACGCATATATTGTCACACACACACGCGCACCAGATTGTAAGACCCACCCCCGACTTTTTACTTGAAAATACGTGGGGAGGGGGGGAGGGAGGGGAAGTGTGCCTTATAATCCAGAGCAAAAGGTAACTCCCCTGGGATTGATAATTCCACCAGAGGCAATAAAACGTCCCGGTTTGTGTCAGTGGCGTAGTAATGGTAACAGATAGTGTCAGATTTAGTGGTAGGTCTTAGTGTCGTGGTTTGGTTAGTTGTAGTAGGTTAATTGTAGGGCAAGCATTTGTAGTAGGCCTAGCATTAATGTTATGGTTAGTATTAGTTGTAGGGCGAGTGACTATGGTAAGGCAAGTATCAGGAGTATGACTACTACGTTTGGTATTCGTGGTAGGGCTAGTGCTAGTGGCATGATTCGTTTAAATTGTAGAGCTAGTGTTATGGTACAGCTTGTGTAAAAGATAGGGCTAGGGTTAGTGGCATGGTTAGTGTGAGCGGTAGGGCTAGTGTTAGTGTTAGTGGCATGATTTGTTAAAATTGTAGGGCTAGTGTTATGGTACAGCTTGTGTAAAAGACAGGGCTAGGGTTAGTGGCATGGTTAGTGTGAGCGGGAGATATCGCGCTCGGATCGGAATCCGGCCGTGACGAATTTGGTTGGGACTATGGGTCAGTCGGGCTGCCCACCATCGGTCTCGGTGATGGCCCAGGCCTCCTGAGCCTCCGCTGGGATCTCGAAAGTGAATGGTGCTCCGTTGGCGTCCGAGTCCGAGTCGTTGGCCGTGACCTGCGAGCACATGGGGGTTGTGGACACACAGAGACGCACGCACACACGCGCGCACTTACACACACACCACACACACCCCAAAGCCATAGATCCCCCGTATAGACTTAACGGACTGTTGGGGCAAGTGCTGTTAGCCAGCACCTGTGAAGGCCGGAACAGCACACGAGGGGGTGGGTGGCCAGCACCACGCCCGGCCGCCTTTGTCTCCCCAGTGGCGATGTTCACTACACACCGCACTAGGTACTCATTTCAGGCTGAGTCGACCTAGGGGAGGCCCAGGACCTGTACAGATAATAGTCACTGGTGTTGGCCATGAGCGGGAATCAAACTCGGGTCGCCGAGTTCGTAGCGCAGCGCGCTAACCGCTACACTACCGCACGCACACCACACGTGGACTCACACACCACACACACCATGTGTCACGTCAACAGATGCCCTGCCAGAGCCTGATTTAGAAACTTTCCAAGGAGTGGAAAATAGTGGGAGTGTGGAATCCTGAACTCTAAGGTTTTTTTTATCGGCCTCTACATTAAGATAATAATGATATAAACAAAACAACATGCACCGTGGACTCTCCCGTAAATATCAATATTCCGGGTATTAGCGATGACCAGGGCTGGAATTGGGAATCTTTTCTGGGAAAACCAGAGCATTAAATGCCTTCTCCTCCCCTTACAGAAAATAATTAAATGTAGTAAAGGGTGTATAGTTTATATCTGTCATTATAACACCATATGAATACACAGTGCTGGAATGGGCGGTGGGGGGAGTGGAATGGTTCTGTAACGTATTTTTTTCTAAACAGAACATATATACATTCAATGTATTTTCTCCGGTAAATTTCAACAATATACCGATTTTCCTGGGCCTTCGTGCGTGTGCCACAGGTTGGCAACAGCCACTCTGCACATTTGTGCGGGTTTTCTCAACTATGTGGCTGAATCTAGTCGCTTGCCTTTTCTGAAATTATATTTCCTTGGGATTTCCGTGAAGTTCAATTCACCTTCTTCGCCGTATTAACATCTGTGCTAAATTATCGTTACATTTAGTTAAGATTTGTAATGCATATATATTTTTTAAAAATTGTCACATTTTTGGGGCACACAAATTGTATCGACGTAACCCAGGCGATGTTCCAAGTGTCCCAAAGGGACTGCACTTCATCTGCTGGTGAATTAAAGGAGCATGAAGCGCGTCCGAGTGTGGCTCGATGTACCCCACCTTTACTGAACCCTGGAGCAAGATATATGCACAGTGCGGGTTATTATTTCCTTTTAAAACCCAAAACCCAAACACCCCCAATAGAGCGGCAAAGTGGTTTCACCTTGATATAGTTGGGCCCCGTGTCACACAGGGCCACGGCGGGCTGTACCAATGCAGGAGGGTTGTCATTTGCGTCGTCCAGTTGAATGGTCAGGGTGCTTGTGCTCGTTCCTCCAGGGGTATCTGCACAGTCAGGGGGGGGGGGGGGGGGGGGACGTGGGATTGAAACGGCGGCCGGTTTCGGTGTGACGCTGTCCTCCAATTGTTTCATCGTCATCATCGTCGTCACGGTCTCTTAGCAGGCAGGATTTTGCAGGCAATATTGTGATTCGCAATTGGCAATATTGTGATTCGCGATCGGTTATTACGATTGATATTATTCACAACTAATTCATATTATTGACCAATTGTATTAATTCACGACTCATTTATCTGGGCCAATTACTCATTAATACACTTGCCTGTAGCAGGGTGGCATTTCAAGCTACTTTAACTAGACCACGTTTGATCACCAATTATTAAGTTAATAGTAATTATGTGAATAATTATTGGTGACAAAAAAATCATTGAGTGGGCGTGGTTATTGATAAAGGGGCTAATCTGACGGAGGGAGAGGCTGACAACTCACCATGTGTTCCACTTAAGCTGTGTCATCACCCTGAGTAATAAGTTGCACAATTTGGTTGCATGCAACTCAACCGGTTGTGAGCAGTTGCGCAACCGGCTGCTTCGATGAGAGACGGACTCAACCGCCAAGCGATCTGCTCAGTGATGTATTTAATCACGTAACAACATTTAGGCAAACCAACATTGGTCGTTAAAATCCTGCGCAAGCTGTTCAATCTCCTTGTTGCACCCACACCCAGACACGGACGAAGCAGTTGCAGGCGATCATGTTGCGCGAGCGATTTGGTTGTGCAACTGATCGCTCAGATGTTGACCTGGCTCTAGGGTAGATGTCGTGACCCCTATGGGACAGGGCAGATAAACTTAAACTATTTTTTCAGTTTTTTTTTTTTTATCAGGAAAGGCCCACATAGCTGTATAGCTCGTTGCCAGAAATGACCCGGCCACAAATGATAGCTCAACAAAGTGGTTTATCACGTGGACATTTATAGTAGCCAATATTGATTCTAAATATGGAGGGGAAACCCGGAGAATCCGAGAAAAATCCACGTGCCCACGGGAAAAGAGAGACGCAAACTCCAAATACACAGCAGGCATCAGGGTCGTGATGGAACCCACGACCTCCTGTATACCAGGCGAGGCAGTTAACATCTCCTAGCCACCGTGATGAGAGAGAGAGAGACACGCAAACTCCAAATACACAGCAGGCGTCAGGGTCGTGATGGAACCCACGACCTCCTGTATACCAGGCGAGGCAGTTAACATCTCCTAGCCACCGTGGCGCCCACGTGGCAGTACCTGGGTCGACTGCTATGAAGGTGGCCGTGTAGGTGTTGTTGACCACAAAGGGCGATTCGCGATCGGGTGGACGCTTTGTGGTGATCGCGCCAGTCTTTGGGTCGACAATGAGCCACCCTGCCGGGTCAGAGAGCACACCATACCTGCCAGGAAGAAGAGTCATGACTGAGCACTTATTAAGATTAATTCGGCCAAGCAGATACTGGTGGTAGGGAGCCACCACCAAAGCCACCAAAGACAAAGATCCCCGGTATAGCCCGAACAGGCTGTTGAGGCAAGTGCTGTTAGCAAGCACCTATGAAGGCCGGCATGGCACACGAGGAGGTGGGTGGCCAGCACCACGCCCGGCCGCTTTTGTCTCCCGAGCGGCGATGTTTACACACTACACCAGGTACTAATTTGAGGCTGAGTCGACCTAGGGGGAGGCTCAGGACCGGTTCAGATAATCGTCACTGTGGTGTTGGCCATGAGCAGGAATCGAATTCATAGCGCAGCGAGCTAACCGCTATACACACACACGCGCACGCACGCGTACACAACACCGTGAGACAAACTCCTGCCCCCACCTGATGTCGCTCTGCGCTGGACCACCAGGTCGTGCGAAGGCCACGGCGTGCATCGTGGCAATCGTGCCCCCCGAGCTGACGCCCTCCAGCATCCTGGCGTCCACGTGGCGCTGCGTGAACACGGGCCGCTCGTCCACGTCGCGCACGCGCAGCGTGAACTTGGCCATGGAGGAGGCGATCGTGGCCGAGTCTGGCGGGGGCCCCATGAACGGCACCTCGTTCTCGGCGAGCACGGCCAGCTTGAATGAACTCATCTTCTCAAAGTCCAGTGGCTGGTGGGGGGGGGGGGGGGGGGGGGAGCAGTGGTGGAGCAAGTCTGAAATGCTCTTCCGGTATTAGGAGGCCAGTGGAACAAATTTCTTTAGAATTGCTTTTTGTGTTTAACTTGTCCTTCCACCGCACGTCCGATTAGCATGGTTGGCTATGTACCGTGTGCAAGAAAAGTTCAACATAAATACATCCCCTTCGTCTGGTATGCAGGAGGCGGTTTACCCCCGACCCTGACACCTGTACATTTGCAGTATCCATGCCTCTCTCCCCATGGTCGCATGGATTTTTTTCTCCAGGTCCTCCGATTATTCGCTCCACATTTAGAATCGTCGTCACGCATTTAGAGAGTACTTGGCTGCTGTCAATTTCCAAATGTAAATTTAGCCACTATCGTTGAGCTATCATTTATGGTAGCCAAATCGCTCCTGAAAATATCTACATAGCTCAGTGGAGCCTTACCTGGTAAAATAAAAACAGTGTAGTGTAGTATACATATGGGGGGAGGGAGAGGTGGGGGGGGTAGGGGCGGGGTGGGGGTGCGGCTGGGCACCTTGATGAGCGTGATGACCCCATCGTTGGTGACGGGGTCGGTGTGCACGCGGAACTGGCCGCCCTCATTGCCCCGCACGATGGTGTAGCGCCCTCGCCACGCGCTCGTGTTCACCTTGTCGGCGTCCAACACGCGCACGCGCCCCACCACCACCTCCTTCGTGTTCTCGTCCACCTCCCCGGACAGCTGTGAGGAGCAGATGGACAGGGTCAGGGTTAGGGGTTGGGGCTGCTGTGCTGATACAATAACAATGGGCGGCGGGGCATCGGTGCCCTGTCTCTTGCTCCCAGTCGCCCGACATTCTCGCCATCGTTCACGTGAACTCCGGCCATCCTCGCAGCGGCGGTGGCTTTGGGTTGGCCGTCGAACAAAGATGGTGGTCACCGCATCGCGGCGCTTTCAGATGCGCTTCCCGGGCCGTCTGGACCGCTCTTGCTTCCGATATGAGGGAGCCACTGGAGCTATGCACTGTTAAATCGTCCGCATTGAAAACTAATTTCTTTAGAACTACTTTATGTGTGTTTTGTTTGTTGTCCTCTAATTAGCATGGTTGTGGCTACATATTGTGTAAAATAATTTAAACATACGTAGATATATATTACGGGGCCGAGTCTATCCACGGGACAACCATTGTTGAAATCCGCACAAACTGGTTCTCGTTGTATCGACCCCCGCAGGAATAAGGATCGGAACTTGCAACCTTCCGATTGTGAGCTGGTCGCTCTAACACTGAGCCACCGCAGACACGCGTATTAATAGATGATAACAACAATAGTGCAATACGTTATACATCGGATGTCACGGGCAATATAAAGAAGAAGAAGAAGAATTATCAAACCCTAACCATCAGCCTAAAGTCCAGCTGTGGCAGTGACCTGGCAACAGTTGGGTGGCTCATCACACCGACCACCCATCTCAAGATTCTTATTGTCCTGTGAGGTCAGAGCTTGAATTTTGAATATCACATTTCATCCAACCCCTTCGATTAGCACGGTTGGCTACGTACGTTGTGCAATACGTTCAACATACATATGACGTCACCCTGCTGCTCTATTTAAGACCGGGAGCAAGTGAGGGCTTCACCATTCTGGCGAATTGCCCGATGATGCTGGATGTAATTACCAGCGAAACGTCACAGTACTCAAAAATTGTAAATGTTGTGGATTCACTCTTCAACACACCGGTGGGCTAAAGTAGTGAACTATTTGTCCTTTGTAAACGTGACACTTTTTTTTTACTGTTTGGCCGTGTCGGGTGGTGGACGGTTACGACACATTTATTACATAACGCGATCTAACCCACAAACCGTTATTATGAATACATATCTACGTACATACAAACCTCACACACACACACCCTGGGGCAACCGGTCATATTTTAGCTTCCACGCTCTTCTTTGTACGCTCCACCTCGCAACCTCCAGTCTGCCTCGAATGACCTACTCGTGAGCCTGGACATGGGAGGGGTGTTGGGAGGGGGGAGCGGGTGGAGCGGGAAGCAGCGGGGAGGGGACGTTGGGAAGTTTCTGCCGCACCTCCTTGGTCACGATCCTGGGGGCATTGTCGTTGATGTCAGCCACAGTGATGGAGACGGTGGCCGTGCTGGACCATCCGCTTCCATCTCCGTTTTTGTCGGCCACCTCCATGACCAGCGCGTAGTACTCCACCGTCTGTGCACAAAGATAAATGCACAGATCTCTCAACCCCCACGTAGCCTACGCAGGCTGTTGGGGGCAAGTGCTGTTAGCGAGCACCTATGAAGGCCGGGACCGTGGCACAACTACAAGGGTGGGGGGAGGTGCAGGGGGCACCATGCCTAGCCTTTTCGTCTTCCCCAGTGCCGGTGTTTTGCACAACTCATCAGGTACTCATTCAAAGCTGAGTTGTCCTAGGGGAGGGCCCACAACCGGTTCAGATATTCACCACCTGAATGTTGGCCGTGAGTGGGAATTCAAGTCGGTTAGCCTGGTTCGTTGCGCAGTGCGCCAACCAATGTGGCACCAGACAACAAAAACCGCCATTCGCCACTAAGTGGCGGTGACGCCACCACGACGCTTGTGCCAGGCTATGTGCACCTTGAGGCTACGTGAAGTGTCGAACGCCCGCCGGCAGGAGGTCACGGGGCAGACCCAGGTGCGCACGTACACGTACACACACGTGTACACGCTCTCACATGCTCACGTGGCCAAGTGAGCAAATGACCGGGTGGATGGGCAGGTGGACATTTGAGTGGCTGAGTGAGTGAATGAGTGAATGGACGAGCGAGTGAGTGGCCGAGCGGCTGAGTGAGCCGTTAAAGTAGCCGAGCGTTTGGGTGCTCGAACTGCTTCACGGGTGGCTGAGTGACCGTGCGTGCGAGCGTGCGAGCGGGCTGCTGATCATTGCGTGAGTGAGCGGCTGGGGCCAGTGAGTGAGGCTGAGTGACCAAGCGAGTGGTTGCGTGGGTGAGCGAGCGAGCGAGCGAGCGATCAAAGCGGGTTGACCTCGCGGTCGAGCTGAGAATTGGTGCGGATGACACCGTCCGCGGGGTTGACCCTGAAGTCGGTCCCCTGCGGCTGCTGGGATACGAGGCGGAAGGCGAGGGCACTGGCCGGTGTTCCGGGCTCGTCCCGGTCCGATGCCATCACCTGCACGACGAACGTACCTGCACGCACGCGGCGTGCACGCAACGAAGCCTCATCACGATCGTCGTTTGGCCAGAATCAATCAATCAACTGCCGGGTGAAGGGGCTCGCCAGGCTGTTACCAACAGCAGCTGTCATTATAAGGGGCCGTCCATAAATGACGTCACGCGATTTTGGACGATTTTTGACCCCCCCTCCTCGTCACACGGCGTCACAAAAAGTCAGATTCCCCCCACAAATATGACGTCACAAAGCTCTACCCCCCCTCCACCCCCCCCCCCCCCACTCCAAAACCATATTTCCATTTTGAAAATAAAAGATGCTTCAAATCGCTTTAAACTATTGTCATTGTAGTGCGTATTTAATGTGGCCCTGCGCTCTGATGTTGTAGGATAAAACATTTATTTAAAAGTCTATTTAATTAAGTAGAACGTGTTGTCTATATTTATTTAAAGTTGCGCATTTTGATGTGACGTCACATTTCTCAAACACCCCCCACCCCCCTCTCATCACACATCGTCACAAATGTCTGACCCCCCCACCCCCTGCCGCCCTAGGTGCGTGACGTCATTTATGAACGGCCCCTGACCACCATCAGCAACATTATCGTTAGCAACAACAGCAACAGCAGCAGCACGTAGAGTAGCAGTGGCAGTTTTAAATCATTACAATCAGCATTAGCGGCAAAAGTAGTGGCGATTTTCGTCATGGTCAAGCCATCAATGGGCCACTTCGAATGTTCCTCCAGATACCGCTAAAACCAACCCCGCCTCATCATCCCACCCCCAACCTGCCTCCTGCCCCACTGCACCACGGTGGCTAGGAGATGTTTACTCCCTCGCCTGGCATGCAAGAGGTCGTGTGTTCGATCCCGACCCTGATGCCTGCTCTATATTTGGAGTTTGCGGTGCCTCTCTCACGTGGATTTTTTTTTCCTCCGGGTGCTCCGGTTTTTCCACCCCTCCACATTTAGGAATCGACATCGTCGCGCGTTTTAGAATATATATATTTGCTAGAACTTTCCACGCGACGACACGAAGCCACTTCGATGAGCTGCTCTCATTTGTGATAGCCCAGGTCAGCTTCTGAAAAAAATAAAACAAAGAGCCTACATAACTACAGTTAGTTGGGGAGGGAGGGAGGGGGATCCTTTCTACCTGATACAATATTTTTAACAAAATCAAAAAATCAAAATCGATCGAGATTTGAAGTTTTCGTGACTGCAGGGATCCCATACTCTTTGGTTCTTTCCGTAAAGTCACGTAGTAGGTTATAAAAAAAATAAAAAAAAATCACGACGTTTCGACTGCAACACAAGCAATCATCATCAGGTGGGAAAAACCACGGGAATTTTTTTTTTTTAATCTATCAATCAAAATCGACTCGACCACACGCAGCCCCGTGGGGGTGGCGAGGACTCACCTTTGGCGGCGCCCTCGGTGACGCTGGCCGGGTAGGTGGCACGCGAGAATTGCGGAACGTTGTCGTTGATGTCCTTCACGTGGATGACGAGGTCGAACGGGTTCTCCAGCGCGTTCCCCTGCTCATCGTAGGCCTGCACCTCCAGCTGCCGCCCGACACACAGACAAAGATAAAGACAAAGATCCCCCATATAGCCTTAACAGACTGTGGGGGCAAGTGCTGTTAGCGAGCACCTATGAAGGCCGGAACGGTACACGAGGGGGTGGGTGGCCAGCACCACGCCCGACCGCCTTTGTCTCCCTAGTGGCAATGTTTACACACCGCACCAGGTACTCATTTGAGGCTGAGTCGACCTAGGGGAGGCCCGGGACCGGTTCAGATAATCGTCACTGGTGTTGGCCGTGAGCGGGAATCGAACCCGGGTCGCCAGGTTCATAGCGCAGCGCGCTAACCGCTACACTATCGCTCCCCACTACAAGATAAAGATAAAGACAAAGATCCCCCCATATAGCCTTAACACACACACGCGCACACCGCGTGAACAACACACCAGGGTCACCAACCCACCCACGTATAAGGCCCCTGCTAATGACCTCCTGCATACCGGGCGAGGAAGTTAACATCTCGATTCACCGCGGCCGGTAAGGCGTCACTGAGCTACGTGGCTCTTTTTCGGAAGCGACCTGGCCATCACAAATGATAGCTCAACGAAAGTAGCTTATCATCGTGTGGAAATGTACAGCCGCCAAATACTCTAAACGCATCCACAATAGAGGGTTTTTTTGGGGTTAGATTTACGCGATCTAACCCCAAAAAAACCCTCTATTTTGGATGATATTGGTCGCGAAAGCCTACGTGTTAAACTGACTCTAAACGCATGTTGATTCTAAGGGAAAACCGGAGGACCCGGATAAAAATCCATGCGACCACGGCAAGTACATGCAAACTCCAAACAAACAGGCGTAATGGTAGATATCGAACCCACGACCTCCTGCATACCGGGCGAGGGCGTTAACATCTTTCCACCGTATGATATAGCCTACACCTGGGGTTGGCAACCAAAATAAGAAGAAACGCATTTTTTTTTTATTTCGGTAAAAATAAAACTCAACATTTAAAGAGTGGATGGGTGAGTGAGTAAGTTGCTAGGTGAATGAGTGAGTTAGTGGATGGATGGGTGAGTGAGTAGGTGGGTGGATTATTGAGTGAGAGAGCGATCGAGTGGACGAGCGAGTGAGTGAGGCAATGATCGAGTGAGTGAGCCGTCAAGTAAATGAGCGAGTCAACAGGTGAGTCAACGAGTGATTGGGTGCGCAGGCAAATAAATGAGTGAGTGAGCGAATGAATGAGTACGTTAACCAATAGGTGAATTAATTGGTGGGCGAGTGAGCCGTCAAATGAGTGAGTGAATGAGCGAGCAACTGAGTGAGCGAGCGAGTGAATAGGTAGGATGGTGGTTGGCTGGGTGATTGAGCCGTCGAGTAGTAAGTAAGTGAGCGAACGAGCGAGCGAGTAAGCTAGCGAGTGAGTGAGAAAGTGAGCGAGCAGGCAAGTGAGGAAGTAAGTGAGCGAGTGAGTGATTGAGTGAATTAATGAGTAGGATGCTGGTTGGCTGGGTGATTGAGCCATCGAGTAAGTAAGTGAGCGAGCGAGTAAGCTAGCGAGTGAGTGAGAAAGTGAGCGAGCAGGCAAGTGAGAAAGTAAGTGAGCGAGTCAGTGATTGAGTGAATTAATGGGTAGGATGCTGGTTGGCTGGGTGATTGAGCCGTCACGTGAGTGAGCGAGGGAGCCTTACGGTGTAAGTGGGGATCTCCTCACGGTCCACCACCTTCTGCTGGTAAATGCGTCCGGATTTGGGGTCCATGGAGAAGACCCCGATCGGGGGACGGTCGACCCCCTCCCCCGTCATCACGTACGTCACGTCCATGAGCTTTGAGATGTCCGAGATCACCTGCGGCAATCGCGACAATCATCACCACAATCATCACTATCATCATCACCACAATCATCACCATAATTATTACCATCATCACCACAATCATCACCACAATCATCACCACAATCATCACCATCATCACCACAATCATCACCATCATCACCACAATCAGCACCATCATCATTATCATCATTAGAATTACCGAAATAAACATCATCGCCACCACAATCGTCAACATAACCACAATCATTATCATTACAATCATCACCACATTCATTTCCACAATCATCACGATCACAACTATCATTACCATGACCATAACCATCATCACCACTCCAATCATCATCACAATCATGATCATCAAAGACAAATATCCCCCTTATGACCTTACCAGACTGTTGGGGCAAGTGCTGTTAGCGAGCACCTATGAAGGCCGGCACAGCACACGAGGGGGTGGGTGGCCAGCACCACACCCGGCCGCCTTTGTCTCCCCAGTGGCGATGTTTAAGCACGGAGCCAGATACGATCATCACCACCGCCATCACAATCATCATTAGAATCACAGCAACGGATATAATCTTCACCGCCAGCAACGCCACCGTAAGGGGCCGTCCATAAATGACGTCACGCGAGTTTGGACGATTTTGACCCCCCCCCCCTTCGTCACACGGCGTCACAAAAAGTCAGACCCCCCCTCAAATATGACGTCACAAAGCTCTGTTACCTCCCCTTTCCCCCCAAAAAAAATAAAACATGCTTCAAATCGCTTTAAACTATTGCCATTGTAGTGTGTATTTAATCTGGCGCTGCACTCTGATGTTGTAGGAGAAAACATTTATGAAAAAGTCTATTTAATTAAGTAGAACATGTTGTCTATATTTATTTAAAGTTGCGCATTTTGATGTGACGTCACATTTCTCAAACAACCCCCCCCACCCCCCTCGTCACACATCGTCACAAATGTCTGACCCCCCCCCCGGCCCCCCCCCCCCCAGGTGCGTGACGTCATTTATGGACGGCCTCTTAGCAACCATGAGCAACCACAATAACCACCCTCCCATCAATTATCACCACCACCATCAGCAACAGCAACAGCAAGAACAAGGTCCTCATCAGCATTCATCATCATCGTCGTCGTCGTCCGCCTCCTCCTTACGAATCTCAGGTATCTGGGCACCCCTTGCCCATCGCCCTCGGTGACTGTGATGGGAGGGGTCCCCCAGCCCCTGCGTCGTCTGATGGCAGAGGGGGATCCTTGCGCCGCCCACCACTTTGACACCTAGAGGCAGAATTTGGATTTCGGGGAGGGGTCAGCGTGGGGATAAGTGAGAGCGGTGGGGGGACACGGACATGAGAGAGCCGCAGTGGAACGCAGCTTCGCCCTCGTGGTCAGGGGTGGGTGGGTGAGTGAATTGATAGATGGTGGAATTAGTGGGGAGCGGTGGTGCAGTGGTTAGCGCGCCAAGACCAGTGACGGTTGTTTTAACTAGTCTTGGGGCCTCCCCTAGGCCAACCCGGCATCAAATGAGTACCTGGTGCTGGCCACCAACCCTTAATGTGCCGTGCCGGCCTTCATAGGTGCTCGCGAGCAGCACTTGCCTTGACAGTCTTGTCAAGGCTATACGGGGGATCTTTGTATTTGGGTGGGTGGGTGGGTGTGTGGGTGAGTGGGTAAATGAGGACGCGAGTGAGTGCGCGTGTGGGTGAGTGGGTGGATGAGTAAATGGTTGGGTGGGTGGGTGGGTGGATGAGTGAATGGTAGGTAGTTAGGTGGACAGGTGGATTGAAGGATGGATGGGCGAGTGGGTGGGTGGTTGAGTACACAGGTGAGTGGGTGATTGAGTGGATAGATGGATAAGTGGGTGAATAGGTGGAAGGATGGATGAGCAGATGGGTGGATAAACGAGTGGTTGGGTGGGTAGGTGGATGAGTGCTTTGTGTATGCATGGGTGAGTGGGTGCGTGGGTTTGTCGATGAGTGGGTGGGTGTTGTTAATCTACTCAACAATAAGTACACATCATGGGACCTCCTTTGCCAGTACCAAAATATGAGCATAGGTTTTCCCCTTTTAGCGTCCTCTGGTCTAACACCGTTTGAGACGAGACTCAAAAGAAAGCTGTCTCTGGTGTGGACCAATCAGTTTCAAAGACAATGCCACATATTATCAGAGCATGTTTTTTGTTTGCATTCTGACCACAAGCATTGTTTGTTAACGCAGACATTATTCCTTGTAAAAGGTTTAAGTTTGGTGTTTTAACATCTTAACACCTGTTTTGTTGCCAGAAAAAAGGGGAAAACCTATTCTCATAAGGAGTACACACCCAAGCAGGTTCACATTTGAACATCATCACCACCATGTGTGCTGGCGTTATACCCGACATTTGCCGAATTACTTCAATGGAATAACCATCGCCGCCTACTGATAGAGTTATGCCTACTTGCTTGCGTTCACCTTGTGGCACACGGGAACACGTTCAATCACGGGGTGTCCTACCATAAACCACGTGCAAACTAAAGCTGGGCAGTAGAATGATTGAGATGAGACGGGATAGACGTTGCGAAGCGAGCACATGCATGCACGTATGTTGAACGTCTTTCGCACGGTACGTAGCCAGCCGTGCCAATCGGAGGTGCGGAGGAAGGACACGCTTAACACAAAAAAGCAGTCCTAAAGAAATGAGTTTGTCAATCTAGATGATGATTTTAAAGTGCATAGCTGGAGCGGCTCCCTGATATCTGAAGGAAGAGCATTCCATTTATGGCAAGCATTTTGTGTGTAATGAGTGCGACCATGTAATGTAAGCGGGCAATAAATGCGAATCTATTCCACAGCCGTATCAGCGGTCGTACTGTGAGTAGACTAACCTCAGTCATGGGAATGTGGAATTTCTACCTGTCGTCTCAATAGGAGTTTAAAAATATATATTTTAAATAGCAGGAAAAATTCAAATAAGAGCATAGCTGAGACCAAGAGCTCACTCGCTATGCTAAAGAACTTGGTTTAGTCAAATATTTAATTCTACCAAAAATGTGAATCAGGGTATCCCAAACTCTAATCCTCGCGACACATCGCCCATTCGAATACATTGCGAGTACAATTTCATCGCATTTTTTTCGAGAGATCCCAAAAAGGGGATTATTGTTTCCTCGGGCGTGATGCCCAGAGCACAATTTGGGATGAACTCTGGGTTGTTAAGTGACCCCCACCCACCCACCAAAAAAATCAACAAACTTTGGCACTCACCCCACAACAGAGACAGAGGAGAATCCACACGCGAGCCATGACTCCCGTGCTCACTTCGTCGAGACTTCTGTTGATCGCGAGCCGTACACTGGTAGAAGACACAAATACAAAGATCGTCCCACCCCTGTAGCCTTAGCAGACTGTTGGGGACAAGTGTTATTAGCGGGTAGCAGCACCTACGAAGCCCGGCAGGGAACACGAGCGGGGTGGGTGGTCAGCAGCGCGCCCGGTCGCCTTTTTGCCGAGTGACGATGCTGACTACACACCACGCAAGGTTACTAATTTGAGGCTGAGTCGACCTAAGGGGGAGGCCCACGACCGGTTCAGATAGTCGACGCCGGTGTTGGCGGCTGTGAGCGTGAAAATCGGGCTCGGCGTCAGCTGAGGTTTCGCGGTGCAGAGCGCTAACCGCTGACCGCTACGAGACCCGCCGCTCCACTAGGCGGAAGACGCGCCTTCGCTCCATACAGACTTCACCGGAGAAATGCGTGAGCCGGTCTCTCGACACCCACCTCGCGCACAACGCGCTCCCCATCCCCCACGCCGACGCATCCTGACCCAACCCCCATACCCAACCCTAACCCGCGTCCTCTTACCTGCCTGGCAGTGAGGAGTGTCCGTGAACAACAGTCACTCGGCGGGTGCGTAATCGATCGCCAAAGCCGTTGTGCAGTAAGCGTCCCCGGTGGCCCTGTGTGTTGCTCGTCAGCCACCATCCGCTGAACTTTGGTTGGAGAGTCATCGACAATGTGAGAGACGTTGGATAGCGCCACGGCTATAATTGCCTCGTCTCATTCCTGTTCACTCTGATAGCCACGACTCACTATGTTGTGATGCTTTCTAAATCCGCAAGTGGACTCGCACCCTGCTATGTGGCGGTAAAAACTCATATTTTGGTTTTCGTGTCAAAAAGCGGCCAACTGAAGCGGATATCACAGAGCCACCTCTGAGATCCCTTCTAAGCGACCTCGGGTACACATTCTGTGTGGCAGCACTTCATCACCAACTCTGCCTTCTGAGATTAGCGTCAGTTGCGTGACAAAAAACAACAATATTATTCTTAGAGATGGAAGCTATCCAAAATTTTGGTGAAACCACGAAATATAATACGGTTATTTTGTTTTCGTGCAGTAATCGGTGACCGGGTTGAGACCATGAACGCACGCTTTCACACACACACTCTTCACAATTAGGGGAGAACACGCCAACTACAAATAGTTTAAGGTGCCCGTGTCAGGCATCGAACCCAAGTCCTCCTTGGGTGTGAATCACGGCTGTTACGCCTGCGCTGCTGCCGTCACCACCACCACCACCACCCTTATCCCCGAATGACAATGCCAACAAACAGGTGGTGTTGGTTACAAGCGCACAAGTCGACGCAGCTGGCCATAAACATTAAATACGAGCTCGGTTGAGAGCCATAAAAAATGAATAAAACGATAGAACAAACCCCGGGGCGGGAGGTTTCGACGCGACGGGGATAGAGCAGTGGTTCTCAGATAGGGCATCTCGCACCCGCCACGGAGTGGGTGCACCCCAAGGTTAAGAACCACTGGGATCGAGCAGCGTCCGCACGACTCCCTTGTCCACATCCGGAGCGAGCGACGAGCGCCGCGAGGAACGGCCTCGAGGAGAGCGTGGACGTTTATTGACGATCGGAACGCTCCGGTTGGAGTCCGCAAACGCGCGGCACGCGTTGGGTACGAAACGCATCGCTCCAAATCGCCGCCGAGCAGATCCGTTGAGAAGCCGAATCTGACTCTCTACTGTAAGCAACTGATTGCGCGATTGGTTGCGAGAGGGATCCACACACACACACGCACACGTAAATGCACATTCCTCGCCCAGAGCGATCAGCTGCGCGACTTGGTTGCATGGAACTGCATCGCTTTTGTAAATCTGGCGGTCTCTCTTTCCAGTCGGGTTGTGCAACCGGTTTGCTCGCAGTAGAGAGGCGCACTCAGTTTTCAAGCGAGCGATCTGCAGCAACGCGTTTCGTCGTCACGTGATGGACATTTGCGACCTCCGGTTGGTCGCTACGATCCTGAGCGCCACACGCTTTGTTTCGTTCCCTTGCTGCGCAACTGCTCGCTCAGACGTGGACAAAGCAGTCGCAGATAGCGATTCAATCACGCGCATTTCGAGATGAGCGATTTTGTCGCGCGACAGATCGCTTCGGTGTTGGGAGGCGCCTTTGGTAACAATGGAGTTGCATGCAACAAAAGAGAGGGTGCCAGAGGTGGCTAGAAGATGTTAACTACCTCGCCTGGTATGCAGGAGGTCGTGGGTTCGATCCCGACCCTGACTCCTGCCGCTGTATATTTGGAGTTTGCGGTGTCTCTCTCTCTCTCATCATCATCACGGTGGCTATAAGATGTTAACTACCTCGCCTGGTATACAGGAGGTCATGGGTTCGATCCCGACCCTGACGCCTGCTGTATATTTGGAGTTTGCGGTGTCTCTCTCATCATCACGGTGGCTATGAGATGTTAACTACCTCGCCTGGTCTACAGGAGGTCGTGGGTTCGATCCCGACCCTGACGCCTGCTGCTGTATATTTGGAGTTTGCAGTGTCTCTCTCTCTCTCATCATAATCACGGTGGCTATGAGATGTTAACTACCCCGCCTGGTATACAGGAGGTCGTGGGTTCGATCCCGACCCTGACGCCTGCTGCTGCTGCTGTATATTTGGAGTTTGCGGTGTCTCTCTCTCTACCCGTGGTCGCGTGGATTTTTATCCGGGGGTCCTCCGGTTTTTCCCTCCACATTCAGAATCAACGTCATGCGTTTATAGCGTTTGGCTGTTACACATTTCCACGTGATAAAAACACTTCATTGAGCTATCATGTGTGGCCAGGTCGCTTCTGAAAAAGAGCTGTATAGGTCAGTGTGCCGTACCTGTTAAAGAAAAAAAAACACACGTTTTTTTATCGCGTGAATCCTGTGCGGCGGCGGGGATGGCCGCGGCGTTCCCAGTTGAAATGTTACGTTCAATTACGTTCATCACCATCCTCAAATTTGGCCGCCGGGCTGTGAAGTAGAACGCGGATTGAGGTGAGCGCGTTGCGGCGTCTTGCCCTGGCGAGCTGGCCTGGCCTACCCGCAGGAAGAGGAGGGAGGAGGAGTTCGCGTGCTCTTTGCTGTTCTTCGCACCCCCCACCCCCCAATTAATTACAGCGCCTTGGGGAGTGTCATGGGAGCGGTGGGGGGTGGCGGTGGTGGGTGGGTGGGTGACAATCCTCACCATCTCATCATTGCACACTCCCCATAATCTGCGACCACTCACGTATCCGTGCACCTCCTCGCCCAGGTAACCCCCTCCCCCACCTCGCTCCCTCCTCCCTACTTCCCCTGCTGCCTCCTGGCTCCCCGAAACACAAGCAGCCGCCGCGAACCGACTTGTAAAGTACGTGGTGATGTCACCATCCCACAGAGTTAACAAACCAAACTTTTGGACGTTGTTGGGATGTGGCGCAGCGTTCGGAACAACTCCACCCCCCCCAGTGACCTGAGTTCGATCCGGGAGCACTGGTCGCATCCATTGCCGAGTGATATCTGAACCAGGCCCCCTAACAATTTCGCATGTTGCCACAGTGGTATCTTTCTTCTTATTCTTCTTTCGTACGGCTGCTGATGTAGATGCAGAGCAACTACGACAATTTCACATTCGGGCGGTCAAGTCCAGATAACCGCGTCGGGAGTAGCGGAGTGTATAGCTGTGATGTCTCCGTCGCGTGCTGTGGGTCGGGCCATTGACTCGTGATGTTCTGGATGACCACAGTCGCAACTGTGAAAAAGAGCTTCATAGCTCATCGGATTCCTCCAGTACGAATAAATATTTCTGATTCTGCACACTGAAGGGGTGTTTTTATTTTCTATTTGTGCATTAGGTATGCGCATCTGCTGACAAGGTTCGTGCAATAGGTGCGGTTTGGGGTGGACCATGAGCAGCTTCATGGATGATCGAACCCAGGGCGTCTTCTGCATTGGGTCTTTCACAACGTGGTGTATCCGCATCTATTGCTATGGTTTGTGCAGTTGATGTGGTTTAGGGTGGACCAAGGCCGTAGCCATGGAGTCAACATTTGGGGGGGGGACCAAATCTTCCAGGGTGTCTGGGGGTCCCAACCCAAAAAAATATCTACATTTGAAAACGAATTTCCTGCCTAAAATATTTGAAAATTCACTAACACGTGGGATGGACTTTGTATTTATTTTTTACAATAATGTCTAATCGTGTATATTGTATTACATTGCTCTGTTTTTACTTTTTAACTATTTCTTGTTTCATCGTATGTCATGGCAGAGATTAGGGATTAATAAAGTAACAACCATAACCACAATCATATGAACAGAAATCTATGAATTGATTTATATGAAGACAAGTCCAGGTTGAGCAAATTGTTTGGTTTTATTTACATAGCATAGCAAAAACTTGTTTCATTGAAATATATTGGAGGGGACATTTTGAGCATATTTTAATATGGGGGGGGGGGATGTGTCCCCCCCCCCCCCCCAATATATATTATAATTACGGCCTTGGGGTGGACCATGAGCAACTTCGTGGAAGATCGAACCCAGGGCGTCCTCTGCGTTTGGGTCTTTCACCCGGCTGTGTCGGAGGGGCACCCTCCGCTTGCAACCCACCAGATGGTCGCAGGCGCCATTCGACATTCCTGGCGCGGACGTTGAAAACAACGGGCCAAGGTTTATTGAAACCGCCCTCCCCGTGGTCTCTGCCCACCTAAGTGTTGCACAACACTTAGTTAGTCGATTTGAATGTCGCGGCTTTTAAGGAAAAAAAAAATCGAGATCGAAAATGAACTTCTTTAGAACTGCTTCAATTTCGTGTCCTTCCACCACCCCCCCAAACCTCCGCCGAGCACGGTTTGGCTACGTACAAAGCGAAAGAAGTTCAACATACACACGTGTGGTGGGGGTAAAGTTCAACATACACACGTGTGGTGGGGTAAAGTTCAACATACACACGCGTGGTCGGGGTAAAGTTCAACATACACACGTGTGGTGGGGTAAAGTTCAACATACACACTGTGTGGTGGGGTAAAGTTCAACATACACACGCGTGGTGGGGGTAAAGTTCAACATACACACGCGTGGTGGAGTAAAGTTCAACATACACACGTGTGGTCGGGGTAAAGTTCAACATACACACGTGTGGTGGGGTAAAGTTCAACATACACACGTGTGGTGGGGATAAAGTTCAACATACACACGTGTGGTGGGGTAAAGTTCAACATACACACGTGTGGTGGGGTAAAGTTCAACATACACACGTGTGGTGGTGTAAAGTTCAACATACACACGTGTGGTCGGGGTAAAGTTCAACATACACACGCGTGGTCGGGGTAAAGTTCAACATACACACGTGTGGTGGGGTAAAGTTCAACATACACACGCGTGGTCGGGGTAAAGTTCAACATACACACGTGTGGTGGGGGTAAAGTTCAACATACACACGCGTGGT